TTAACAAAGGAGAAGTGTGGATGGATTATTTTAACAAAGGAGAAGTGGGGATGGATTATTTTAACAAAGGAGAAGTGTGGATGGATTATTTTAACAAAGGAGAAGTGTGGATGGATTATTTTAACAAAGGAGAAGTGTGGATGGATTATCTTAACAAAGGAGAAGTAACTTAATAATAAATAACTTTAATAAAATTTTGAGCAAAGTACCGGGAGGTAAGAATAACATATTTTTGACTGATTTAGGAAAAATCTGGGGACACTTTTACATAAAACCTGTTTACTGCGTATGAAATGTGAATTTCAGTTTTGTTCGTTTTTATTAAAAAACATTTTCTGATCGTTTTCAGCTAAAAGATTCAGAATAAAATCTGACGCCGTCAGCTGGACGAGGACAAAACTTTTTAAAAGGTGAGCCAATCTGTTTGTAATCTGAGGCTTTACGCAGCTAAAAATCTATTTATCTGATTTTTTCCTAAACATTTGGCCGTGAAGTTTGAACACCGAGCAGCTGATGGTTGATTGACAGGTGTCACATGCTCGTCAGAGCCTCCAAACGAGCGCTGGTGAACAGCAGCAGCAGGAAATGAGTTCACTACTTCCTGATTGAACGCAGAGTCTGACCGGTTACCATGGAGACCGATATGATAAATGAGCTCTTCGTTGTGAATCTAAACATGTTCCTGGTCTTTAATTTAATTTAATTATTATTGATTTTAAACAACAAATTAGCTCAAGTCCGGCTTGTTTTTCTGATCAAAATCTTCAAACTGATTTGGAGTTTGTTGAAATTTTCTGATTCATCACCCGACGAGCTCGTTTCATTTATGAGCGCCAATGTGAAAATTAGACTTTTATCAGTCTGGAGTGATGTCATCACCTGGATTTAACTAAGCAAATAATATTGGATAATTACTGCATGGGTGATGATCTTTCAGCTGCAACAAGTTATTTAACCTCAACTGGTTCAACGAGTTGCTTCTCTTTTCTTAAACAACCGTGTTGAAAGACACGTCGCGTGGTCGTGGAAAAGATGTCCGTCTGTTGGAGAAGGGTCAAATCATCGGCATCAAGCAGAGAAAACATCTAAGGAGATTGCAGAAACTACTAAAACTGGGTTAAGAACGGTCCAACGCATTATTAAAAACTGGAAGGACAGTGGGGACCCGTCGTCTTCCAGGAAGAAATGTGGCCGGAAAAAAATCCTGAACGATTGTGATCGGCGAACACTTGAACGTTTGGTGAAATCAAATGGAACAACAGTAGTTCCAGTTGAATAGTTCGTCCCTGCAGCTTGGAGTAATCTGCAGAAGGATTGAACGTTATCTCTCGTTGCGTTGGGACAATTTAAATCAATCCTAAAGGAACGAGATCGGATCGTTGGGCTCCTGTAACTGCCCTAATGTGTAATTATGGGATTTCTCCTGGATGCGTTTGGTTTAGTAAATCCAATTTCAGCTGTGAAGAGGATTATTTTAGCTGCGAGGGTCGTTCTTCCACACCGAGAATAAGAATCGTTCATAAGGATTATTAATCTCAGGAAGAAAAATAAATATTTAATTTGGTTGTCAGGGTGCTGCCTGCGATAAACATCTGTTCAGAATATTTACCAACACACACATCTGTGTAACAAAACAGTTTGAGGGGTGAAAAAGATTTTAATAAAACTGGACCGACAAATAACAAACACGTTTTATAATTGAACTTTAAAATCTTTAATAATAATTACAAAACTTTCACAGCTGAGAAACACGAGTTTAACTTTAATCTGAACCTTTAACAAACAGCGTGTGAATTAATTCAACTCTGAACAGTTTCTAATTTTACTCTTAAGTTAATTCAAATAAAACAAGGTTTATAAATTAGTGTTTTTAATTCCAGTATAATAAAATTGTTTTTTGTTCAGAAACCTCCCGTTTCACTAAATGACCAAAACAAAAAGGTGGAAATGCTCTTTATTGAAAATAAGTTTAATTCAAAACTGCTTCATGTTGAAGATTTGTCTTCTGTCACAGGAACGTTTTATTTTTACAAGTTTTTTGATCCCAACGAAGCTGAAGTTTTAGTAAAATATAAACTGCTTTAACAGCAACAAGTTTTTATGAACGTCTAAATGTAAACAAAGTCATGAAGCTCAGGCGGCCATCTTTAGATTTTAAAGAACGTTCTTGTTAAAAACTGAACGACTTGATCAAACGAGTTTATTGACGATACATTGAGCTGAAAACTGATGCCTCCCCAGAAAGTCCTCGTCTGTCTTCAGGTCCAGATGTCCCCCTGCAGGAGACAACACATTTACAACCAGGTGAGCGGTCGCTTCGTGTAAAGAGCAGACGTTTTCATCCAGGTTTAGAAAACAGATCTTCTTGACCGAACGACGCTCGTGTTACTACGCCAACGTATCAGTCCGCCAGAAGAACAGCAGAGGCGTCTCAGTAAACGGCCGTGTGACATCACTTCCTGTTTACAGGTTCAGAACGTAAAACTTTAAACACAAACCTGTTGGTTCAACATCCGATCAACTTCTTTTTGGAGGATTTCTTCTTTTTCTGCAAACAGTTGTCAGATTAGTGTCACTGCTGGATTCTAAAACAAACCTTAAAGTTCAGCTCAGTTTAAACTGGTTTGTCTTTCTGCAAACGTCGTTTCATAAAAACTAGCTGCTGAATGAATCAGTGAACCGTTGGCTCCTCAAGCTGCTGAATGAATCAGTGAACCGTTGGCTCCTCAAACTACAGGAAGATGGATCTTTAGAAGAGCTGAACTGTCCCTTTAACGGCTGTGATGTCCTGTCAAACGGTACAGAGTCTGGAGGAAGAGTTGAAAGTCTTCATCCATGTTAAACCTCTACTTTTGACGCTGATGTTTTCTCAGCCGTGTGTGAACTTGGACCCGGTTCTGGTTCTGACTGTTCACCAGGAGGTGAGGAAGCCCTGAACCATTCTGCAGCTACGCTCCCAGTTCAAACATGCTGAGCAGGGCGGGGCCGCATCCAGCCTGCAGGTGAGTTCAGGTGAGCCCCTGTAATGACTTCAGCTGTTTATTTTTAGCTAACGTTGTTTCACTCCTGGCTCTGGAGCCCCCCCACCCCCCGTGAGGCTGGTGGACTCAGAGTCTTAAACCAGGATCTAGTTTCTTACCGTGGCAGCTGGAGGAGTTTGTGCGCCGTCGTCAGGCTCCGCCTCTTCCTGTTTGTCCTTCTTCTCTGTGGACATCAGCACATGTTGGAATCTTATTTCCTCATTAAATGAACTCAGTAGAGACAGAGTCCGTCTTACTTCTTTTCTTTGATGGAGGCCGGTCCTCAGGAACTGGACCTGAACCTTCGGTCTTTTCTTTTCTCTTTTTCTTCTTCTGTCCGTTTGAAAACGTTGCGGATGCTGGAGGCTCGGGGCTCCGGTTTTCTTCCTCAGCCTTCACAGATCTCTTCCTCTTCTTCTTCTTCTGTTTCTTTGGAGGCTGGTTTTCTTCTGAACTTCCTTCAGGTTCAGTGTTTGCCCTCTCTGGTGTTTGGTCCTCTGGTACCGGGTCGTCTTTGGTTTCTTTTTGCTTCAGTCTAAAAAAATAAGAAACGTGTTACCTTCTAATGTTCATGTTCATGTGTAAAATGTTTAAAAACCCTGAGTAGTGACTTTTCTCTTCCTGCAGGTGGGTTGATGCTTCTAGTCTCCATCATCATCATCATCGCTCCTTTCATCTGAAGTCTCTGTCTCTGGTTCTTCCTCCTCCGCCTCTTCGTTTTGGTCGGAAGCAGAGAGGATCGTTCTTCTGAGGGGCAGGAATCATGAAAGTCGTCGTAACGTTTCGAACAGCGTGTAAATAAATGTTTCGACTCACCGGCGCCCCCTGCTGGAGCAGCTTCAGACTTCAGCTCCTCGTTGCTCTTCTGTGCAGTTTCTGTCGGACTCTCCTCCACGTCTTTAACCTTCTTCTTCTTCTTCTTCTTGTTTGCCGACGGAGCGACTGCAGGTTCCTCTTCCACCTCATCCTTTGCCCTTTTTCTCTTCTTCACCTTTTTCTTCTCTGGAGCGACCTCTTCCTCGCGTCTCGTTGCGCTCTTTTTCTTTTTTCTGCTCGGAGGAGCGTCTACGTCGGTGTTCAGAGTTTCTGTTTCATCCGTTTTCTTCTGGGTTCTGGTCTCTCTGCAGAGCTCCTCAGGCTGTGGATCCAGCTCGGCTGCTTCGCTGATGAAGACGTCTACATGTTCGTCTAAATTACAGATTTTAAAAAGACGTGCGTCATTGTTTTTGTTTCATAAACACAGATGAACCGTTTTATTTTTACAACCCTAACATTTCCTGGTTCCTCAGTTCCTTCAAGCTTCTGTTGTCATCACGACACGCTGGCAGCTGAAGCTGATTTTAGAGAAACTTGAAGAACTGTTAATGAAGACCATCACCGTCATTTTCACACGCTTTGAACTTCCCTGACACTGTTGATTTTAGCTTGTCTGTATTTTATAACTTTTAGTTATTATATTCATCTATTTAGATTTATGTATTTTTTGCTGTGTCCTTTGTTTGTCCTTGTTTTAAGTGCTTTATAAATAAATACCTTTATAAATAAATACCTTTATAAATAAAGGTGTAAACCAATTAAATTACTGAACAGGTTTCCCCCCTCCCTGTTGTGCCCCAAGGGAGGGGGGGACGAAGTTAGGAAGGTGAATATAGCGATTAATGACTTCCTGTAAGATACTTTTTAATTTTTAAACCAGTTGTGGTAAAGGAACTGTTCAGAAAAAAAAATATTTGTGTAAACATTTTATGTTACATGGACACGTTATAGACAAGTGTGACAAAATTATTTTTATTTATTTAGTGGGCGTGGCTTATATTCGGGTGCGCTCAACAGTCTAGAAATTACGGTAATCTAAATAAATGTGAAAAACACAAAGTACTAAGAATTTTATAAGAAAATGAGACGGTTGTTTCAAGTTTTACCGTTGAGCTCAGCTTCACTTTGGTCCTCAGGCGTCGTCTCGCCGTCCTCTGTCTTCCGAGACACACAGATGTTGTCTTCCGTCCTCTGAGACACATAGATGTCCTCTATCTTCTGAGACACACAGATGTCATCTTCTGTTTTCTGAGAGACACAGACGCCGTCTTCCGTCCTCTGAGACACATAGATGTCCTCTGTCCTCTGAGAGACAGATGTCCACATGCAGCAGAGACACGGTTCATAAAGTGAAAGGATTTTATAGAAAATCATCCAACAACAGTTTTAAAAGTTATAAATCACCTCAGAGCTCTCCTCTTCCTTTACACCGACGTCTGAAGAAGTAAAAACAATAAAAACAACGTGATCATCGTCTTTTATGAACAATATTTACACAAACCTGTCAGAATAAAAACACCGGAAACATTCGGATTCTTTTTCGGGCCTAAGAACTAAAACTCCCCGAAGAAAATGAGGTTTATTTAAACTCCACCGTAGTTTGATGATGGTGTTTGGAGGAAACCGACGGCCACAAAAAGTTCGACTTGTTTAAACTCTGAGCTTTAACGGCAGCCGTCTCAGCGGTAAACTTTTATTTTCTAAATTATTAAATGTCTCGTCGAGTCTTCCAGTTTTCAGGACGTCGTGTAAATGTGTTCACAGCAGGTTCTTTGCTTTTCTCCACCTCGGTAATTAACGTCCAAACGAGGAAACCGTCAAAGAACCGTCTGCTCAGAAACGCAGCGTTTCCTCCGGAGCTCAGCGGCTTTTCTTCCAAATATTTACACGTTCTGGCTCCAAAACGCCACAAGTTCTTTGTTTATGCTTCTCCCAGTAAAGTGAAATTATTAAAACGCTGTGCAGGGAAACAGCTGCGCACAACGTGCTGCCAAACACGAGAACGAGAAGAGCCGTGCGCAAAATAAAACGTGTCCCGTGTCAAAACAAAAGGCAGGAAGAAACGTGAGCGAGGGTCAGCTCCAGCTTCTGTTCCCGTTTAAACGTTTATTAAATTTTAATAAAAGCAAAGATCCACGACAGACGGAGCTCGTTTGAATCATCTGCTGGTTCTTGGGGAGATTTCACAAACGTTTCCGCATCCTTCACTGGTTTTTACACGTCGACTTAAAAAGACGGAGTAGAACAAACATCAACGCAGATTCATTTTAACTTTACTGCAATAAAACAGACATTAAGTGTTATTTTAAAACCGATCCTTTTTATGGACTCGAAGTTTTTAATTCTGTCGGGATGCAGCAACTTTTAGGACCAAACTCAAACGTCTGTAGCTAAAACAAAGAAGCTTCACGCTGCTGTGAAAATGACGTTTTCTTTGGTCTCAAACTAACCGACCCGGCAGAACCCTGGTTCTGGTCCTACCTGCAGGGGGCGGGGCTTCGCTCTCGGCCCCACGGGATCGCTGCAGGAAGAAAACAAGATGTCAGCGAGCTACGACACCAATCCTCCAGATGTTTCATTTCCTGCCAAACCTCTGCAGCAGCATGGTCCTCTTCATCCTCTGATGATGAAGAGGAGGAAGCTGAAGCTTCTCGTTTCTCCTAAAAAAAAGAATAAATAAAAAATAAACGATTTAAAGAAACTCGGAATTTATTGACAGAATAGACTTAAAATCAAACACTAGACTTTAATCAGATTATGGACAGATTACAGTAAAAACACGGATCACTGTGAAAATCACAACTGAACATTAAAAAAAAAAAAAAAGATTTGTCTGATTTGACAGAATTCAGCTGCTTCACTCAAACACTTTTAGTTTTACTTTATGTAGAAGTTTTGTTTTTATGCTACTCAACACTTCTAGCTGGGGGGGCACAGTGGCTCAGTGGTCAGTGCTGTGGTCTCACAATTCTGAGGCTGCAGGTTTGAGCCCAGGTTGTGTCAGGATGAATATTTGGGTAAAAAATAAACAAAATCTCCTGAGAGTTAATTTGTTTTGAACACTGCAGAGGGTAGCAGCTGAAAGAAAGGCAGCAGCCTTTAGCTACTAGTCGCTTCTAGCTAGCTGAAGTTTATCCATTTTTCTTACGCATGTTTTTCAGCTTCTTTCTCGTCCCGCAGTTTTCAAGCTATTTCAACAAATCATAAATCAAAACGTTCAGCTCTTTCCTGCTATGATTTTTGGTATTGGTGCAACTTTAGCTTTTTTAAATATTTAGCCTTTTCTGCCATTTTTTTCATAGAAAATGAATTGAGCTAATTTTCCATCCTTCAAATCTTTAGATGTTTACAACCTTTTACTGCTTCTTTCACATTTTATTCTGCTTCAGCTTCTTTCAGCTTCTTTCAGCTTCCTTGTGCAAATGTAAACTGTTTTCCAGTTTCAGCTGTTTATTTCAGCTGTTTATTTCAGCTGTTTATGTGCTCCTTTCAGATTCTTTCTGCTAATGTCATCTTGTTCTGCTCCTTTCAGCTAATTTTTTGCAAGTTTCAGCTATTTCTACTATTTCAGCTACTATTTAGCTGTTTTATGCTAATTTTAGCTTTTTCAGCTAATTCCGCTTTTTTTCTTTTTTTTTTTTTTTGCACAATTTGCACTTTTTGTGCTCATTTCTGCTTATTGCAGATATGTTCTTTCTGCTTTCTTCTGTAAATTTAAGCTTGTTCTACCTTATCAGCTACCTTTCGTAGCATTATTTTTAGCTAATTTCAGCCGTTTTCAGATAAATTCAAGGTTTTTGTGGTAATTTCTGCTACTTTCAGTATAATTAACTTCTTTCTGCTAATTTCAGCTGGTTATGCACCTTTCAGTTTATTTCTGCTAGTTTCAGCTTTTTCTGCTACATTTTAGCTGTTTTATACTAAATTTGGCTTTTTCAGCTAATTCCACATTCTTGGAACTCATTTCAGCTCCTTCCACTTCCTTCCACTAGTTTAAGCTTCTTTCTGCCTTTTCAGCTACTTTCAGCCATTGCTTTGCTAATTTCAGCTTTTTTTAGTTAATTTCCTAATTTTTCTGCTCATTTCTGTTTATTTAAACTTAATTCAACAAATATGAGTTCTTTCTTCTGCTAACTTAGGCTTGTTCTTCATTTCAGCTATATTTCAGCAGGTTTTTAGCCAATTTCAGCTGTTTTTCAGCAAGTTCTTCTGCATCACACTGCATTTTCGCAGGAAATGAGATTTCTCTAGTTTCAGCTTTGTTTTTGTTTTAGCTCCTTCAGCATCTTGCAGAAAATGCTCGTTTCTACAGTTCATGTTTGTTTACTTTTTTTTTTTTATTTAATGTAAATGAAAAACGACGACGCTTAAGATTCTATTATTTCTTTTATGTTTATTTTGTGAACGGACCCTGAAGTTTGTGTAAATATTCTGTTAATGTGGATTAAATCTTTTCGTTTACTCTCACTTTAAAACAAGGCTCCAGCAGAAAGTTTAGCTGTTTGTGCAGCAGATGAACTCCGAGCGGCTCCTCGGCTCGTTCCTCAACTAAATCGGCTGCAGATGTTCGGAGGCTCAGCTGAAGAGCGCAGGTTCTGTTAGAGCTGCGAGTAAAGAGCATTTCTGCTCTTTCAGAGCCGTCCGAGTGAAAAACCGTTTTTAGTTACCGGTAGTTGTCCCGGGTTTAGAGCAGACGACTGAGCTCACTTGATATTTGTGTTGAATCTCCACAGAAATATGAAGAAAAATGAAAGTTACAAACTGTCCAGCCTGAAATCACCGACCTGCTCCTCCTGATCCACGGCCGTGTCAGAGTTCTGAGGTTTCTGCGCCTGATCGGACCGGGTCAAGACCGTCGGGTCAGAGTCCCCCTGAGCGGGATCTGGGTCCGAAGAGCTTTTCTCCTCCAGCTGCAGAGGATGTACCAGGAGGAACAAAGAGAGAAAATGTCACGGTTCTGGAGACATCTGGACCTTTTTCACCCAACCCGGTTTAAAAAACTGAATTAAAATTTACTTTTGTCAGATTATAAACAGAGCTTAATTTATAAATCCATAATCTGAGTTTGACTAAACCATGCTGAGCAGAAATCCATCCTGAACAAAAACAGAGCTTTAAAATTCAACAGATTAACTTCTGAACAAAGCAATCTTTAATCTCAGATTATTTAAGCTTTTTCCATAAAACAGCCATCATTTCTCATATTGAGATAATCTCAGTTTAAACCTGGCATGACAGGTGGCGGGCGACATGCATCCCTTCAAGAAATGCTGGGCTTTTATTTTGAAAATGGAGAACAAAGTCTGTAAAGACTGAAAATAACTTTTTTAATCTTCAGTTTTAACTTTTAGGATCGTTCACTTTGGTCTTGGATGCAAAGAACTTTGGGAGGTTGGATTTTTTTAAAGTACTAAATTATAAATAATAATAATTTGCACGCCTCTTTTATGACTATCGTTGTCGTTGTCGTCATCACTCTGTTAAAAATCAGGTCTCTCTTGTAAATGAGTCCCCGAGGCTCAATGGGATTAACTTGTATAAATAAAGGTCGAACACACAAAGATCCAGCTCTGAACTTGTTTTTACTTTAGCTGCATCGATGAGCCGAAACAAAAGATCAAAACAAACACGGCAGCTCCCACACAGGACCTGTCTCTCTCTCTGTGCGTGCGTGTGTGTGTGTGTGTGTGTTCATCATCACATCATCTCCGTGGCTGGACTTCAGTCATGCGTCTGTTGTCTCTGGTTTCACGGCAGCTTCCTGCTGCAGAGACGTCCAGGACGACTCGTTTCACTTTAACTTCATTTATATATATTTTTTTATAAATCCAAAGATGATTTTCTGCAAGTTTTGTTAAAATCACCAAGTGTTTCAGGAAATATTTTGCTAACAGGCACGTGAACCCACCCAGACGAGTAAGAACGTGACAGTCTGACTCCGCCTCTCGGCTGCAGAGACCAGTAAGAGTTTTGACCTGAAGGCAACTCGTTAAGACTTTTACATAAAACGTTTAAAAATACAAATTATCAAACAGCCGGAGAAGTTTGGAAAACTGTCTTTTAAATGATTCATGTTGGATTTTTAAAGAGTAATAAACATCACAGATAAATCATTTATTTTAAAACATTAACTCATTTTAGCACAACGACGTTTCACTTCATATTAAAACTAATAAAACTATTAAAAACAAGAAAATATAATCTTTAAATCTTAGAATCTGTTTGTATGATTCACATATTTTATATTTTTGCACCTTCAGGTTTCGTTTTTTTACAACTTTCTGCCGTTTTAAACGATCCGAGCCGCTTCTTGTTTTTATCTGTAAAGCCTTTTGTGTTTTTGTTGCTTTATAAATAAAGTTTTGCGTGATTTGAAGCAGATCAGTGCAAAGAGAACAAAGTCGTCTTTTTGTGAAACAGACCCTCACTTCTCTCTCTGCGTTCGGTTCTTCCTGGTTTCCCTCTTCTTCGCCGTTGGAGGAGTCGGACTTCTGACCCGTTTGGGTTCCAGCAGCATCCAGCTGCTGCTCAGAGGACTCAACATCTGCCTCTGAGAAAAAACAAAAACAGTTTTTTTTAATTCCAGGTGTTCAGCGACGCTCGGATCAGGAGATGAACAGTTTCTGACAAATGAGAGCCGCACACCGAGTGAAGGCTTGAGGTCTGCTTCCTCTCCTGTGAGGGTGCAGGGTTCTGGTCCTGCAGACTCTGGTCCTGTGAGAGTACAGGGTTCTGGTCCTGCAGACTCTGGTCCTGTGAGAGTACAGGGTTCTGGTCCTGCAGACTCTTCTCCCTCAGTGGTATCGGGCTCTGGTTCAGTTCTTCTGCTCTTGAAGTTCTCAGAGTTTTCAGACTCCTGCTTGGCGTCTTGAGCTGAAGAAGAAAAACTAAAAAAATATAAAATATATAAATTTAGAACTTGGGACAGTTTGGACAAAAAAAAAAAAAAAGTCGTTGTCAAAAAGTCCCCGAGGACCTGGATTAACTTGTGAAACCAGGATTAGAGACGTGGCCTCCCGAGGGCGCCGGATTAACAAAGAATGAAAATTATTTTTATTCCAATCGTCAAGAGAGGCCTTTTTTTAATCCCACATGTGCTAATTTAATTTAACCCGCTCACTTTGTGCAGTTTAATTCATTGACGTCAACAAAAGGCCGGTGATAAACTCTGTTCAGTTTTCTGTTAGCAAAATATCATGAACTAGTGTAAAGTTTACAAAGAAACTAACCGATCCAAGATGGCTGCTGCAGCTGATCATTAGCAAAGAAGAACGGTGCTAGCTGAGTGGTAGCGGATTTAATTCATCTCCTACAGATTAATATAAAATATGTTTTCTATTCCGAAGGCGGCAGTTGTGCAGCAGGAAGTGGACGCTCTGGTTTGGATTGTTGTTGTTTGTTTGTTTGTTTGTTTGTCTCACCTCAACCATTGTGTGTAGATGTTCTGTAGGGTCGAGTTCTCCGACGAACTCTCCACCTAAAAACACGACAGAGAAACAAGATGGAGACTCTCAGAGCTTTACGGTCCGATCTGACGTTAACGTGACCCGACCGGTCAGAACCAGAACTAAGGACACACGTGACCCGACCGGTCAGAACCAGAACTAAGGACACACGATGGGATCTCTGCAGACGTGACGTCCGCCCGACAGGAAACACGAGGGCGTGAGGGATAGGAAGCGCCGGGGCCGGTCCGGTGCTGGATTATTATGAACGCTGCGCTGGTTCTGTCAGAACCCATTAACGGAGATTTGTATTAAAGATCAAACATCCTGAAGGAAAACAACATTCTTTAAACGAGTTTGTGCAAGAAAATAACGTCAGGTCGGCGTTAAACACTGAACTGAAGGAGAGCTCAAATTCATCAAACGACACGAAGAGGCCGAAGATCCAGAAAACATCAGCTTCATTTTGGCTTTTCATGTAGAAAATGAAGAATCTCAAAACGAGTGAACTTCTCTAAAAATGACGCGTCAGCGCCGAAAAGCTAAAATTAAGTTGGCGAGGTAACGACGAGCAGAACTGAGAACAAAATGAGCAAAAACAAAGACTAAAATCAGAACGCAAGCCGAAATCAGACGAAGAACACGAGCAGAAACAAGAATTGAGTTGAAAAAATGGAATTTGAGTTAAAACCAGCAGAACCCGAGCTAAAACCAGTAGAACCCAAAGTAAAACCAACAGAACCAAAGATAAAATCAACAAAAAACAAAATAAAACATGCAAAACCCGAGCTAAAACCAGAACCCAAGCTAAAACCAGCAGAATCTGAGCTAAAACTAGCAGAACTTGAGATAAAACCAGCAGAATCCGAGCTAAAATCAGTAGAACCCAAGATAAAA